GGGCTTGAGGTTCTCCATGAGGAACAATAAATATCTTTAATATTTCGTATTTGTCCCATTCTGATTATTTTATGCATTTATTTGTGTGTGGGTGGTTAAGATTTTTACCGGATCCTTTTGCATTCTTTCAAGGTGTTCGTTTTCGACATTTTCCTTTGCATACAGAAATTTAATTGACCTAAATGTATTGCGTGTTGTTTCAGTTCATATATCAATATTGATGAACGTGTACACAGCCATGTAACCCGCATGCAAATCCAGGCGGAATATTTCTGGCATCTCATTTGGCCGCAAAACACACCCTATGCCTTCTATTTAAAGATTCATTTTGATTGTTGTCTGGAGCTTCATCTCATTGTCTCAATTTGTTGTGCCTACTCAGAAAACTTCCCACTTGCATTACACACCACTCCTTCTGATATTTTCCTGCATTTTTTATCCTGATTAGTGGAATGACAGATTGGAAAGAAACGGCAGGGTCTACGAATAGCATGACCCCCGGCCGTGTGAACCCAGAGGGGCACAGTCCTTTACATAAGCCATATAAAGGATATTTGTTCTCTTAGTTGTCATATATTTTCGCTTCCCAGTTTTAAACCTGCCAGCCTCGATGTATGTGTGTGGCGTTGTAACCACTTTGCTAAGGGTGCTGAGCCAAGGTTTGTAAATTTCTAAGGCTATAGTCAAAGCACTCATTCCACTATGCATCAAAGCACTCATTCCACCATGCATCTTTTCTTTAAAGCATTTAACATAATAATTTTACATTTTTGCTTTCATGTTTCTTTGATTAATACCAAGTTCATCTCCTGCATCCTAATCTCTATGTAGAGAATATGTTTTAATTTTTTCTCATCAATGTATCTACATTTTAATATGTACTTATTGGTTGATTCATGAGTTATTGAAGGAATGAATGAGAATGTATTGACTATGGGGTCACAGAGTTCTCTTTTCTTTTCTGGTAGAACCTTCTACAAAGTCAGTTTGTTGAGTGTTTCCTAGGTACTATTGATAAAAATTCCCCATAGTCAACAGACAACATACAGGGTAATTTGGGAATGGAGTTAGAAACTCAGATACCCAGAATCACATATATGGTAGAGATAAATGACATCAGAGTAGATGATAGAGTTTATAGAAAGCTGAGACAATTTTCCAGAGGTTTCCATCTTATTGCATTTTTTTTTTTTT